CTATACAAATAAAATTGAATTGAATTGAATTGAACTCCTGACTTTTCCTCTAGTGCCACCGTCGGGTCACAATTTTAATTCACCTGTTGTATTCCACCCAACTGCAAAACTAAGGCCACTAGTGTACTGCAGTGTGTTTAACTCTAATTAGCATCTCACACAGACAAACTAAACAAAAATGAACATTAAAAAGTCTGAGTAAGGTGTCGGGTCACTACATTGATTCTCCGAGTCCTTGGAATGAGTTGTAAGATTGGAGTTGGAGGGATGCAACTCCATTCCTACAAAAGCCTACAGTGACGTTCTGATGATGGTGGCAGCTATCGAACAGGTCAGTCCAAAACAGGGATCTCCAACTCCGGTCCTCGTGAGCTACTGTCCTGCAGGTTTTAGATGTTACTGCAACACACCTGACTCAAGTTAATGGATCACTAACAGACTTGTGTAGAACTTGACAACAAGCTGTTGGAGATCCATTAATGTGAATCAGGTGTGTTGCATCTAAAACCTGCAGGACGGAGTTGGAGATCCCTGGTCTAAAATCTCCCTTTGGTGGTTGATTAGGTTGAACTATAGTGACTTGCAAAGGCACTCAGTGACCTCCTTTTTGGATGGAAGCGTTGCCATCCTGATAGAGACACCTTCCATCAGGTAAGAAACTACTTTGGATTCATCTGCAGTGGCGAGAACTGAACCTAAACTATGTCTTCAAAACGCCCCACTCAGCATAACAGGGCCGCTGGATCTCACTGTAGGGGTCAAGGGTTCACGTTTTTCCTGTAATTTCTCACCCATTAAGCTCAAACCACAACCTCGAGCCTCACAAACCCGCGAGCATAGCTGCAGACTCTTAGTCTTGTAAAACACAAATCACAGAAAATTAATATCTCTGACAGATAAATGCTCGGCTGTGTGACTCGGACGCATTGGCAGCGCATGAGAGACGCAAACTGGGGCTATTAAATCAAATGTTTCCCAGCAAGCAGGAAAATGGACTGGGTTTGTCGATTTATCAGTTGTCAAGCTTTAACAGCGTGTGACAATAAAACCTGGGAGGAAACCATGGAAGCCGCAATTCAGAGTGGGGTTTGCGATGACCAGCTGGTCCATCTCTGCATTTCTGGACTGAGCCGAGCCTCCTATCAGCAGGACGCGTGACGGCTGGTCCCTGTCTGCCTGCTAGCGTATGGTACTGCTCGCGAGAGCCAGAAGTATCAGCCTTACAGGGCCTCTGGGAGGTTACCTAATGTTACTGTAGCTATTTGTAGCATTTATAAGCTTCTATGCTGCCCTAGAACGGGAACCCGGTGTCCAGTAAGTATCAAAGCAGCTGTTCATGAGCGTCCAAAGAACAATACGTTGACCTACGAGTGACTTTTTCACTTCGTTCACATCAGTTTTATGCAGTGATGGTGCACTGCATGTCCGGATTAAATGTCATTTTAATATAGCAGCATGCTTGAAATCGCCTTTATGCTGTCCAGGCTTTAGATGACAGCAGGGTTAAACGGGACATATGGGAAGAAACACCTTGATTATGCTGAATGAGCTGGAGCACTGGGGCCAATCAGGGCACATCTTGGTCCCGTGCCACTGGTAGCGGCCAGGGTGCGGTCTCCTCTTCTCGAAAAGCTCTGTCACACGCTCTCCGTCACCGCTGCCAAGGTCGTCTGTCTTGTTCCAGCTCACGCTTTGGTTTCCTGTCTGCGTCACTTAGTCACTTTCCCTCTTTCTTCTATTCACTCTCGATTCCACACTTCTTCTGTGCTGCCACCTTAATTCACTCGCCCTCTCCGTATCCGTCTCCTGCCCCCGACCGACTCTCTCATCCTGCCGTTACCATTGTTCGCCGTTTTTTTTTTTTTTTCCTGCATCTGCATCAAATGCACTAAATCTCCATCTCTCTCAGCTCTGGGCCTCGATTACTAACTTCCATCTTCCTCTCCGTCCGTCTCTAGATGGGTTTGAGGTTTTGCTGTGAAATGTGTGGGTGGGGAAAAGAAAAGTCTTTTCTGTGCAGAAAAATGATAACCTATCATTTTTCAGTCTTGGTTCTCAGCCTGTCGACATGGATTTGCTCCCAGCAGTGTCACCGAGCGTCTCTAGAAATGTTTTTTATAGTGTCTCAAGGTCTCGGCGGGACCTGGCTGCCTGAACAACCCGGTGGCCTGCCCCTCTCACCGCCTCATTCCCCATTAGGTTTCCTCCGATTCGTCTGCTCCTCTTCCAATTTAGCCCAAGACTCTCACCTTTTCCACACTGGTTAGAAGGTGAAGAGCATTCTGTGCACGATCGTCATCTTTTCAGCCTCGCTCTCTGTCAAAAATCCTCCCTTGTTGAAGGCAGACAGAGCAATCAGGAAACGCTGCTAAGTGGCTCTCTTAGCCCCAAACAGAGGAAATGAATTTAGCACTTATTGCATCTCTGGGAGATTTGTGATGACTTTGATTCATGCACAAGTCCACAGAACTCACCACTCAGTGATACGGGAACGAATTAATACTTTAACAAACCGGCCTCGTATCTTTAGTGTGAACGATAACGAGTCTCTACTTTGCATCTTTTAGATCAGTTTTAGCTGCTTAGCGACCTGCTGCAGTAAATGATAACGTGAACAAAGGAAGGGTTGCACAAAGGTTTGAGTCCTACAGCTAAGAAAGGAAAGCTCCTTACTGCCAAGAAATGGAAAAACATATATAAGCAATTATGGTAAGCCTGAATCTGAACGTACTACGACCACATCTAATCCCCGTTCAGACAGAGGATATGTAGCATGACTTATTCCCACCACTTAGGTAAATGCAAGATAATAATTTACTTAATTTCGATAAACCTTTAAAGCCTCAAACATTATTTTAATGGGTTGAATTGACATAATGATGCTGGTAAATGCATCACTGTAATGAGTCTAATTTTAACTCAGATTTCCGCATCACAAGTTGTAGTAACTAAATCAAACTGGATAATTTGCATTCAAGTCCCCTCCTTTTACCGACTAAACATGCCTGGACAGTTGTGTATTTGAGGACCTGTACGCTGGACAAATATGACACAAATGACATTTAGAGGTGGTTTCATAAATAAATTCCATTATGTAAAAGATACAAAAAAATTAAAGGTTAGTTACCAGCAATGTTGTTAAAAGCTACCAAATGAACAAAAATTTGGAAAAAGCCACAAAACTATTGATTGAAATTTAATTGTAGCAACTTAATTTTTTTTACATTTATGTCACTTAAAAACCTTTTGTTCACCATGCTGGTAATTAAGAGTGTAACATACAAAAAATACTTTTAAATAACACACTGTAGGTGGAATGAATTAATTTTTACGAGTAATCACCAATCATTAACTACATTATTAAAAATATATTTGATTGAAGAGAAGAAGAACTCAATGCACCGTAACTTCCGGACTATAAGCCGCTACTTTTTCCACACGCTTTGAAAACTGCGGCTTAAACAACGATGCGACTAGTTTATGGATTTTTAACAAATTTGCCTCGAGACCAAAGTGACATTAAGAGCGACAACGACAGAGAGACTGAGGAAGTGTGTGACGAAGTGATTCTGAGGCCGTTCAACTCCGACACTGAAGAAGACGACTTTAGTGGTTTTAGTGCAGGAGGAAGATGAAGATAGCGATCAATGACTTTTCCTGGCAGGCTGCTGTAGTTTTTATTTCCTTAACCAGCCGTGTTACAGGAACTGTTCAGAAAAAAGCATCTACGGTATTTGTGTATGTTACCGGTACGTATTTAATTAAAAGTTTAAAACATCTTTCTGTGTAAATATCTCATGTTCCAACGTGAACACCTGCAGCTTAGAGACCAGTACAGCCTGTATATGTACACACCTGGTTTTCTTTTTAAAGTTACTGGGTGCGGCTTTTATTCAGGTGCCTCAATAGTCTGGACTTTACGGTAGTTTGTTGATTGAACATAATTTTACGAGATCTTGTCTTAACTCAAAACTTTTCTGAGTGTAGATGTTTGTCATACGTTCAAAACTGGAGAGCACATGAGTTCATGTCTATTGCATAAAAATGCAGTAATTAACCAAAAGTAAAGTGTAAATCTAAACTAAGCTTATCAAACTGCCCAACTTAGAAATATGCAAGTTTAGTTATGATTTTCTAAACACTGACCATGCGTGATGATCATTTCTCATAAAATAACAGCTTAAAATTTACTGTTACTGTGATACCTGTTGGTCTTATTTAACTTTAATGATAAGGTCACATTACGGGAGGCATCTATGCCCATAATGGAGGAACAGAAACTGTCTGAAAGAGACTCTAGATTGACTTTAGTCCTGCCTGAAAAAATTTCAAGGAGCTGTGGCAAAACAAATTACTGTCATCGGGCATAAAAGAAAAAAAAGCAATTTCAACTCAATGTATGAAGCAACATGACATCAGTCAGCAAGACAATGCATTGATGTGTACATGCAGGTAACAGGAATGCTGTATTCATAGGGTTTGTATAACTGTTTGCTTTCCCTGGTAGAAAAAAAAACAAAACTCTTCTTTACATACAGTACCCCTCCAGCACAGACAATAATAATAATTATTTTTTAAAGGATTGTATAGATGCCTGCGATGCTTTGTGGGATCTTCTTCCATAAAAGCTTATTGTCGAGGAACAACAAAAGAACTCAAACCACAGAAGTTTCAACCAGCAACAAAGGATAATCATCTCTCAATTTGGCTTTATTCCTTCCCGTCATCTGGTAGCCGAAGAGCTCAGGTAACAATTCAAGGCCTGTTTTCTGCTATTCTCCTGAAATGACGCTCCCTAATAACAGCTCTCAAAGTTGACAAAGCTGAATATTTAAGAAGCCAATTGAAATGCAAAAGCAGCTCTCGGCAGCTTTCTCACGAGGGGAGCGAGCCTCTCACCTCGGAGCCAGAGGCAGGCAGAGATACTGAATTACTGTGTGATCATTAATATGGATTGTGCTCAGCGTTTCATGTTACTGTACTCTATCTGGTGCGTCCTCTCCTGTGAATACCGCCACTCAGCCGGCACACAACGGCAGCGGTGATGGCAGTCGCCTCGCGTTGCTGCAAATGGCACACATGGAGATTTAAAAAAGCTGGAGTATTTACGGTCAATTGTGGTGGCTTTCATAAACATCTCTGTCTCAGCATCAGATTACACCTACTTAAACTTGCTGTTATGTAAATGCTAAAGTCTGGGATCAAGCTTTAACATTGTACGTTCGTTTTGAAGTAAGGGATTAAAAACAGGCAAAAAAAAAAAAAAGCTTGCACAATTCATATAGTTCACGTACTGTACATGGCCTGTGAAACATTTGGCCTGATCTGATGTGTGCAGAGAGAGAGCTCGCAGACGAACGTGTTCAAAGTTAGATTCGGGGGCGGACGAAGACAAAGAAAAGTGATTAACTATTTCAGATGTGGCTGCGAGTAAGAGCATAACTGCCTACAGAGGGAAGCCTTTGGTGTAATTGCCAAAGTAGAAGATTTTCTGGTAAATAACAGGTTGTCTTTCATCCAGTCTGCTCTAGCAACAGCTTGCAGACATTCATGGGGGGTGGGGTGGAGGGTGGGTGACGTTGCAAAGCATGATGGGGCTGCAGCCAAAACGGCACAACAGGCAGAGCTTGCACACAGAGAACTGCCAACTCTTTTGCATTTGTTCAGAAGTTATGGGAGCTTTTGAAGCCCTATAATGATGCCTTTGGCCTGGCTACGCTTTGTTTGTGCACAGCAGGGACTCGCGGAAAATGAGCATAGGCAGCCTTTAAGGGCTCACACAAAAGAACTGTAACTGCCAACATCGCATTACTACACAACGAAATACTTAGCTTACATTTTCTGACTTCTGAAACCAACCTCTGCGGGGGGAGAGAAAAGGAAACGCTGTATAATGTATATTTCATGTCGTTAACTACAACACGAGACAAAAGAGATCTGTCTCGTACATAGAGGGAGGCATTGAACAGCTGACATAAACCCTCAGGCCATGTGGGTTATGCTCGGAGAAGGAATGCATCGTTGACGCGAGCGCACCTCCCGGCTCCCGACCCACAAAACACACATACACTTGTAGGAAACTGAAGAAAAATAGATTCCCATTTAATTAATTCCCAGCAATCTCCCCTCAGGGCACAACTCTGAAATTGGACAATGGAATGTACACTTCTTTACAGATAAAAATCTAGGCCTTCACACTGACAGGCAACAATCTCCAGACGCACACAACAAGGTCTGGCCTGTGTAGGACTGCTACGGAGCCCAGCGATTGATAGCATCCCACAATCCTCAGTGGAAACAGTCTTTAGTCAGACTGTTGCGATGTGACCTTTGGGTTTCGTTCGCTGGCATTTCAGCGAACAGCAACTGGTTACAGATGATGTTTTAGCATCACAGTGACAAGAACTCAGCTGTGTGTAGTTTCCGAGCAGAGACAGCACAGTTTGCGTTCACTTTTTTCTGGTTTAAGATGTGTTTGAATATACGCTGAACAAATATACATCTGCAGCATGTGAATGGGTTCCTTTCGTGGCAGAGGAAAAGTTCAAATTTAGCCAGTTGTATCAATTTTTGTTTCATTTAGGGTGGTTATTTCCTAATTTATATTCTTTTGTAGAGCTGCCATTTGTTTATTTCCACAGAATAGATAGAATTTAATAAAATACTACATGCTGGCTTTGTGTTTTTGTTCAGTGTAATTCAGCCACTTTATAAAGGAGCTGTATAAAATGTGCAAATCTTAAAAGGTTCACGTTGTTGTTATTTATGCACAACCAAGAAAGAAAAAAACATTTGGGCTTTTTATGTCATTTTCTGAAGAAAATATCATCAAAACAAAACAGGAAACTGACAAAACAGTACAAAGGGTTGCCATGATTCATATTCACATCCTCAAACATTCAGCACAGTGTCAGTTCAGAGTCCAGTTTCATCCAAAACCTTTCACACAACCTAAACAAAACACTTTCAAGCAACACAGCGGTCCTCTCAGTCTGCAAAGTTCCTCTTAAAGTCCTACATCTTCAACCCCTTTTTCCTCAAGTCCTCTCTGGCTTCCTTGATCTGCTCCTGGAGCTCCTTCGCTGCCTCTTCGCAGTCGTTGAACGTGGCCACCCGGTACCCCACCGTGGCCAGCGAGTAGCAGCCCAACGACACCAGCAGGTAGAGAGGCATCGGCCAGGCCGCCTCTCTGTACGGCCGCGGCAGGCTCAGGTCCAGCAGGTCGAAGGAGACCAGAGCCCAAACAGCGAGCACCACCGCCACACCGAACAGCCACTGCAGAAGTTTAGTCATGATGAAAGCTGCCGACGGGAGTCCAGGTGAGCCGCCAGACGAACAACCTGACACAGAAACACGACAGCTTAGAGGCTTACCCATTCAATTAGCTTAGCTTAGCGTTAGCATATCCCTAAAGTGTTAGCTCCCGAACTACAGCAAACGAAGAAGACAAATGGCAGGTGGGTGATAGCGACCGACCGGCCTCACAAAAGCTTCGGTTAAATTCGTAATTTGTTTCAGAAGAGTGTATTTGAATAAACCTGTAAACGAAACAATCCGATATGTTTACCTCCCGTCTAACGCCACCTCAGCTCTGCGCAGCTTGATGACGTAGAACCCCGTGATGCGTTTTGGGAAATGTAGTTCCCGTAATGTCGCTCTGAAACCCAAACAAACTTCTGTTCATTTTTGGCTCCTGGCACATTTCTAGCTCACTTTTCTCCGCAATATAAAGTCCCGCACCTCTACAGAAGCAGAATAACCCTGGTTGAACATAGGGATAACTAAAAAAAAATATTTAAATGCTTTAAATTGTATAAAAAGAAGCACAAAAGTGATTTTTTAAAAAATTATTTATTTAGATAGAAATTGAAAAAAATAAAAATAAAAAATGGAACCTACATGCACAACATTTTGTTAAGTGCCCACAGTTGTTACCAGTACTGGAAAACACACTGGAGACTCCAAATACTGTAGATTATTTACTACTTACATTTTTAATTTGTCCATATTTGCCTCCAATCAGCTCTGTGTGAGCAAAGCCTCCAGTTCACTTGAAAAGTTGTTGAATTTTTATCATGTCACTGTTGACCCCAGCAAAGTTACTTATGCCGTATCGGTTGTAGCGTGGAGGACAGAGTTTTTTGGTTTTTGCAGAATCTTTTTAGAGCAAATGTTTTATTTTTTTTATTTTTTTTTATTTTATGAGACACACAGAAAAAAGTGGTTGCTGTAATTTTAGGTTTGGATTTAGTTAAGTGTTCCAATTGAACAGCAGGTCAAGAGTCGCTGAGAATTCTTTCAGATGTTATTTTGGTAATTCTTAGATAAATAACCTGCCTTTCAAACCTGCTGGCATATTTTGGGGTTCAGTTGGTTAAATTTCAACAAACCAAATACATTTTTGGTTGATTTTCTTGTTAGTGTTTTTAAACATTTCATACTGTTTTTCTAATCACATGCAAATATATATATTTTAAACATTTTAACCTCTGTTCTCAAATACGATATAGTGAGCACCATTTGTGTCTTTCACAGCATATAATAACTATTTTATGTGCAAACCTTGCTCTATTATTTATATATTCATTAATGTATTACATATATTTTCAAACTGTTAGTGTGTTAAATTCATATTATACTCTGTAATTCCTGTCTTAACGTAGTTATCGACCACTAGAGAGGACTAAGAGTGGAGTGAGATGACACTGATCAGTAGAGATTAATTATTACAACATCTCGTGCTGTTTTTTTTATATCCTCCATAAATCTCAATGTTGTTGCTGTCTGTGTTTTTCATTAAAAACACTTCACTGGACTGCCGTCTGATTTATTAACAGCATCAGTGTCCTGTCAACCGAGAGAGAGAAAACTATTTGTTTCAACCAAGTCTTTAATGAGACCTCCAGTAAGGCTTTTAACACGCATTAGACCTCTAACTCTTTCTCTGTGTCATCCTCTTCATTTAGGAAAGCCATTTTGAAAATTAGATTACCATTAGCACTAGCTAAAAGCCATCCATAAACACTAATGCTTTTCCAAAGTGAGGAATCCAACAACAATTTCATTAGGGGGCCTCCTGGAGCTCGCTGGTGTCGGATCTCAGTGTCTCCTGAGGTGCTGTGGGCCACGTCTGTTCGTTCAGGCCGCTGAACTGTCCAGGTGCAGAGGGTGCACATCTCTCCAGGGTGAAATCAGGGAGTGGGAGGAGATGTAAACATTATTCACTTAGCTGGGGAGAGGGACACACTAAAGAGCCGCTGAGAAATAAACATCATTCTTTGGGGAAAAATGGAGAGTTATTCTTAGGATGGTGCTGTTTATGTTTGTCTGCATTAGTGTTAATAGTGTGAGTGACGGTCTGCGCGTCTGCCAGAGGGGTGAAGCCAGCTTCTTCTGTTTATGGAGACTGTGATCTGCAGGGCTGTGGGCTGTGTAAAGTATTTTAAGCAACTGAAATCAAAAATCATGTTTCCAGGTTTGCATTACGGAGCATTTCATCCGGGGACTGGCTTTGCACTTTTGTAAAACAGCCTCAGTACATGCTGTTATAAGGCCTGTTTGTCTTGTCTACGCTTATCGAATCTCATTTTCCCGACAAAGAGCTGCAGCACAAGGAGATGTGACTGATGATTGTTTCATTAAATGCCTTATTAAGCTTTTAATGACCTAATAATTAAAGCCATCAAGTCTTGTCAGCGCACAATGACATCTTAACATTCACAAAACCCAGCGATAACAAACAAATAACCAACTGTATAAAGTGTCTGTGCAAATTCCCAGCTATCCAGGTCAGGGCGGTTCTGGGAGCTTCAGAGGAAAGCGACTGGATTTATAGAAGTTGCTTTTTACTGAAGCTCTTGAATTGAATAAAATGTAGAAAAACAACAGAATTTACTAACTGATTATCAAAATACCTGTGATCCGAGTAAATTAATGCCTATGTGTCACTTGTTTTTCCACTAAATGCCACAATAAATGCAAAAAAAAGCCTCAGAATCAACTCAAATAATGCTTTTTTTTAAAATTTTTAAAAAAAAAATTATACTATCAGTCATTCAAGGTCAAGTCGCTGCGATAACCTGAAGTCAGGTGGGATCGCCCATGACAACGCTGCATCATTACATACATCACAGCTAGCGTGCGTTGCCTGGAATGCATCGGTATGAGCAGCAGCGCGAGGCGGTGTGTGACGCTCAGTGGGAACGGCGGAGCTGGCTTTTCTCAGTGTGTCTCCCTGCCAGCTCCTGTTCCGTTCCAGTACTCAGGAAACCTGCGCTCCAGCCGAGAAGGCCTGGCAGACACAACACAACAGCCTGCGAGCAGGAGGGGCCTGAAACCGAGAGAATGAGAGCAAAAGAGAGAAAAGAGGGGGATGTGGCAGAGGAAAACAAAAACAAGAGGGATGTAGGGTACCAGAGTAGGAGAGACGAGTGAGGCAGCAGAAGCAGCATTTTTTGATAAAGAACCAGAGAGGAGAAGCAGGGGTGGGTGGATGGGGGGGATTTCATAGCTGACAGGACAAGAGAGGGAAAGCTGAGAGGAGCAGGAATGAAAAGAAGGGGTGGCCAAGTATGTGGACGAAAGAGGAGAGGGCAGCAGAGAAATGAGGCGAGGGAGGGAGCAGACAGCGGGGGTGAAATCAGGGGATTTGCAGGTGCAGCTTGAACAACCAGTGACCTTAATGGTGCATTAAATCCAGCTGTTGCTTATCCAGACTTTTGCTTCAATCCCCCTCTAACACCTTCAGCTGCACAACGGGCTCCGTGCAGCACCTCGGTTCCCACAACGGGGGAGTGAATATGGAGAAAGTGAAGAAAATAGCAGTGTCGGTGGAGGGAATGAAAAAAGAAAAAAAAAAAACCACACACTGTGTGCGAGAGGGATCGGAGGAGACGGAGTGATGGCGGAGGAGATACTTGAGCCTCAAGTGCAGAAATAGGAGTGACTGTGTGACTCCAGCCAGAGAGCAAAGATAAGAGGCATAGATAAAACAGGAAAAGTGGTAATGCAGAGTTGTGTTGACTCTATCTCTCCGGCTTTGTCAATATTAGCAGAGTGAAAGGTCCAGATAAGAATGTGTGCTGGTAAAGAGCTATATGGGGATCAAGATTTGGATAGATAATAATTGTGTAATATCTCAAGTGTGTGAAGCAAGAGCTGGAGAAGCAAAGAAAACCAGACAGAAGGAGAGAGAGAGCGTGTGTGTGTGAGTGTGTGTGCTGTCAAATGCTGTTTAAGATAACAATAGAGCTTGGATTCAAAAACAGGAAGCCTCTGTTTCCTGAGCTGGAGACCATAGCTGTGTGTTATGTTGTCATTAGATGTGTGTTCAGATGTGTTTGTAAAAAGGAAAGAGTGACTTAAAGTGCGTCACCGTGTCCATGCCGGGATGTTGATGGTGGAGGAGCGAGAAGCGATACGTGTCCCGGAGCCCAAACACGCAGACGGAGCGGTTTAAAAAGCTCAGGTAAACCGACTGAGCCTCATCAGCAAACCTAGACGTTAACAAAAAGCAGTTTAGGCTTTGTTGATGAAAGCGTTTCGTTGGAACAGCATGCTCTGTTTCTCACTTCAGATTGATTCAGGATCCAACTTCAGGGAATAATTTATCAGATATTTTGCAATGTAGACACAAGAAATTCCTCAAAGCTCTTTGATTTTACTTTCACTTTACTTTCTTTTAATCCTTTCCACATTTTAAGTCTCAGTAGTTACAAAGCAGGAGCAGAAATCACAGAATAGAGTCGTAAAAATAGAGAGAGCTGAGGCAGAGCAGGAGCTACCAGTGCGTCTACGATCACTGAGGCAGAATTAATTGCTAAATTAATCCATCACTTGGCGATCACACAAAGAGATCATAATCAAACACACACACACACACACTCACACACACACACACACACACACACACACATACACGATGCTGCAGGATCAACAGGTGCTGTTTGTGGCTGGATTCAAAAATCTGCTTGGGCTGTGGAAAAAACATTCACCTCAGTGATTTGCACAACCTTTATGGTGTTTTGTTTTTTTTTACAAAATTTGAGGAGCACAGTGAGACATGAAGACTGAATGGACTTGTTAAGTTGTTGAGTTGACCGCATGAGAATCAGGAGAAGTTTATGAAGCAAGATGAAAAAAATCAATTATGCTAGGTTTAGTCAGGAATAATTAAAAATAGGAGCACAGAAGTAAATGCTGCTCCACCTCACAGCACCCACATCGGCCATCGTAAACGGAAACAAAAAGGCAAATCGAGTTTAAAGTTGCTCTCAGGTTGTTGATTTAACCCCTGAAATGTCATCTCCCGTTATTGGAGTTACATCTTTAGAGCTTCATCTCTTCCTGCTCGCTTTCTCTTGAATGTGCACATCTGTGAAGTCCCCACACGGACCGTTTATTTTAATCATGATATGTTTTCTGGTGTATAAAATAACACCGTCCGAGCTAAGAGAAATGGGATTTTCACCAGAGAGGCAAAAAGCAAGTCTAGTGGGATTCATGAGGAGCTCCAACACGACAAAGTGCTTGAACATCCTCCATACAAAGCTGTGTGTTTTAGCTGAGAACAAGCAGTACCGTCCTAAAATTAGCTGATTCATTATTAAATACGCCCACTCGTGCC